TGACTCCGGACTCCCGTTAATTTCGCACCCTGTGTAAGTGTATCTCATACAACATTTATATCTATCTGATAGGATAGCAGATGTAATAATATGAAACAAGTCAGAACATATCACTCCGATTGCATAGTCAGTAAACGGAGAAAGACACAACCAACAGGCCATGTGGACAACTATAGCACTCGCATTTTAATAAGTTTCAGTGACAATATCTACTCGATTAGCTGTCACTCACACCCTTTGCGATTTTTCGTGTTACCAAATTCGTTGTCGGTAGCGGTGACGAGACGGCTGTAAGCTACGTACCGGCTTCAACGATCGCAGGTTTATTGCTGGGGCACACCGACAGCACTTTCAGCACACGTGAAGTGGTCCACAGCAGTTTTTCGTAGTTGAAGTCGCGCATAATACGCACCAGCTCCCCCGGTCCTCCGCTCGCAAGGATGATCAGCTGCAACCAGACACACACATGCATATTATTTCGACTAAACAATGATTACGACAACTGTCTCTATGAACTACACTGCATACCACATTTTATCAAGCATGTTCACAGAAGCTAGAACATGTAGAAAAAAACAACTAGAAAGTAACAGAAGGTTGCCAGTACAAACATACAGCCTGTAAATATCCGGGACGAACACACTAAAGACTGTGGACTAGAGGCTGGTTTTGAGAACAGGACGCGCATGCTTAAATTACCTTGCCTTCTCACAAAACCACAAACCTTGCTCTCTTGGTTTCCATACGCCAGGATCTGCAAGCAGTCGGTGGTAATCGCCAAGAACTTGATGTTGTTACGCTGCAGCAGCATCACCATCTTCTGAAGTCCGCCCGCCAAGCGGACAGCCATCTTGGAGCCTTCTTGATGCAGAAGCAGGTTGTGCAGGGTGGTGATCGCGTAGAATAACACCGATTCCACTGGCGAACTACAGCAAATATGTGGCAATAATAAGCAGGGTTCTCAGCAGAAGAGATCTTAAATTGTCCTATAGTCTACAAACGTATGATGTACATGACAAATAAGCCCACAATTAGTCATGCATAAATAAGAATGCACACTGTGAACATTCCAGGTTCCACCACAGCCATTCCTCTACTAAGCATCTCATTGAAACGGCTATCCAGCACACACGATCTAACCACATGTAACTACTGTGACTGTGATCCAGCACATGCTCACCTGAGTAGACGCACGAGGGCGGGGATGCCTCCGGACTTGAAGATGGCGAGCAGGCCCTGTCGGTGATGCGACAGGTTGTGCAGCGTGCCGGCGGCGCAGCGCGTCGTCTCCACGTCGTTCGAGTTGGTCATCGCGCGCACAAGCGCGGCGACCATCTGCGGTGAGTTCATGATCGCGTGTCGGCTCGCCTCCTTCTTCGACAGCTGGTGAACCATCATGGCGGCCTGCGAGACGACCACCTGGTCCTCGTCGTTCAGCAGCTTCGTCAGCTCCGGGATGGCGCGCGTCGCGAGGTCTGCGTCGTCCTGCACACGACAACGACGACCGTCACCTCATCTCTCCACACACACACACCGTCACCTCATCTCTCCAACACACACCGTCACCTCATCTCTCCACACACACCGTCACCTCATCTCTCCACACACACACG